ATTCCTGCAGCTGCAATCTAAAGTGTTTAAAACTGTACAATATAGACCAAATATTTGCTTAAAGACAATGCAATCTGTTCCATCAGTAGCAAATAATTTTGGAATCAAATTTTAAGTCTGCATTTGCCAGACCACTGAAAACAAAGCCTCATTCATGGAAGGTGGTCTCAACCACATCTCTTCCCAGCTCTGCAGTATTTTCTTGAACACCAACCCAGAATGACAACTGTCTCCAGCTCTTCCTTGGTTTGAAAAGCAGTGAAATTCCAGCATTTTAGAAAGTTAAATCAATGCTGAAACCAACAGGAAACTCAATGCATTCAGCTCTCTACAAACCCAGACAGACACAGCTAAAATGGTCTGCGTGGCTAACTTTTTTTTTTCAGAGATCCTCTAAAACTAGCAAAAGAAAAACCCAGTTGCAGGATTGCAGAGAATATCTGGAATAGACAGAACAGTAACAAAATCCATGATGGTTTAGAAGTCCAGGGGATGTGCTTGAGAAGAGGGTAATAGGATTAATTATGTTTCAACTAAATGTCTAGCTGTCAAACTTGGTTCACAGGCAGATGTCAGTATGAAAGGCTGAGATTAAGTTAGGCAGAAAAAGACAGGTCCTGGGCAGAGATGCTGAGCTGAAAGAGAACTAAGGAAGAACTTACCATGCTGGTCTCATGGATGAGACTGGTGGAGACGAAAATGAGAACAAAGCCAGGAATAAACTTAGAAGGAAAAAATGATTGAGGCTAGAAGGGACCTCAGGAGGTTGTTGGTCCAGGCATCTGTTCAAAGCAGGGTCAGCAAGAAGGACAGACCAGGTTGCTCCAGGCTGTACCTATCTGGGTCTTGAAAACCTCTGGTGAAGAGTGCAATGTCTTTCTCAGCAATCTTCCAATGCTTGACTGATTTTTAGCCAACTTTTCCCCCTATGTCTGCCTAGAACCTCCCTTGTTTCAACTTATCCCCATTGTCTCTTGTCCTTCACCATTGCAGAGTGGTCTTGTCTTTTTGGTAACCTCCTTGCAGGTCCTAGTAGGCTGCTATGAGGTTGCCCCTGAGCCTTTTACCCATTTGCAGGGAACTTCAAGAGAGGGTAAGACCAACAAGAAAAGAGAAACCTACTGAAGGCCTGATCAGAGAGAAGAAACAGAGGTAGGGAAGGCAAAGAATGAGGAGAACAGGTGTTCTGAGATTTAGGGAGGGGAGAGCCTTTTAGTAAAGAGCAGTTTTAGTTAAGCTCACGATGCAAAAGGCAGAACAGACAGCGCCTGGGATGAAATGTGGCACAAGGAAAATCGGTGCAAGACAATGACAAACTATTAGCAAGAGGGGCTGAAAGGAGAGAGCTTGGGGGAAGCGCAGACCAGCGAAAGGAGAAAATCGAGCCATAGAGCTGTGCTTCTTGGCAACAATTGGTTTTCGCTGTCTCCAGTATGCCTCTGAATCATCTTCAGCTGTCCAAGACCCTCCAGCCTAGTTCAGGTCCTGAAAAGGGACCATTATTGTCACCAGAGGATCACAGAGCAAGAAAATACCACAGGGACTTCACAGCAAACCAATGACATTTCAAACCAGTTATCAGGACACACACGGTCCTACAAGCTTCTACCACATATATTGGTTACTGACTCATCTGAAACTGAGAAGACTGAAGGGGAGAGCTGTATTACTGCATAAAGGCTTTTCTGGAGACCTTGAAGAGCCTATAGATTTACAGCAGCTGACAATGATTCAGACACTCTGAGCAGGCAGCCTAGATGTCATCACTGCAAAGATGAAGTACAATGGAATAGGAAATTGTGCCAACTAGGTCATTCCTGTTGCGCTGAGAGACAAGAACCTCTTTGACATTGCCTCCAACAACACGAACACACAGAACAGACAGCCCACAAAGGCAGGAACGCCCCTCTTCTCACTTCTCCTCAAAGGGAATAGGTTAAAACCTCACAAACTGTGTCTCCTATAATCAGCAATAGCACCAAGCAGCCTTGTGAGCTCCGGACAACACGCAGACACGGGCATGCAGATGACACCCAGTGGGCTGCAGATGAGCTCTCAGCAAGGACAGCAGAAGACTTGGCTCCAGACACACCTGGTAAGTCTTCTCCATACCTCCCCTGCCCAGACTTTTCCAAACCCAGCTCAGTTTGCTCATGAGCTCAGTAAAGCTGACAGCTAACTCCAAACAGACATGTCCACCTGGCTGACTTTGTTCCCTACCACATAAACTCCATGGACTAACTCCTCCTTGCCTCTCATACCTATCCCACTCCAGGATCTGTCTTTGCACTCCCACATCCCACCCACAGCAGGTCACAACAGGATATGGGCCAAGACTCGATGGGGAAAGGTCTCCCAAGTGTTTCTACCTTGGTCTCCTCCCACAGATTCTCAGGGATCAGTTGTTCCTGCAGCAAGTCAATGTTTTATATAAGCTAAAGGAAATTTTTGAAGAATAGATTCTTTTCTGGCCATGGAAAAAATTAGTCTGGATAAAACAGAGTAAATTTCACAGGATCAAATCCAAACCACTCATCTCTTTACTGTTTTGGCTGCTTATTTCCATTCTGGAGAAAGAAGGACTCCCACATTTTACTACTCCGAAAGCATCATCACAACACATTCACTTGCCAAGCAGCTCTGGTTACTATTATGTACTTAGGCTCTTTGGTCATGTAGGAGTCCTATTCACAGAGTAAGACCTGACTTGGTAACCACAGATAAAACCTTCACAGCATCACTATGGTGCTTCTGCATCTAGAAGAGCTTGATCTATTTTTGAAGACAGAAGGGATTTAATACCACTTGAGCTGTAGCCCTCAAAATATCAGTGTGCTCAAACAAAATAAAAAAGGAGCAGGTTCACAGAAGAGCTGTGCCCTGTTACGAGTCAACACAGCTTATCTAAATCTAGATGGCACTGGATCTATTTAAAAATGTCTGCAAGAACAACATGCTACTGTAAAATGGGACTATGAAGCTGTCATGTAAGGTACTGCATGCTGCAGAGCATTGATTTTTTGACCCATCCTTAGAGATCAAGGTGCACCTGAGCGGTATCAGTGGAAAAAACACTTAGCAGACAGGCCTTGTGTCTGCCCAGTTTAGCCTTCTGCTCCATCCCTGAGCAGGCTGTGTACTATTTAAAGCAAACAGACTGATGTAAGAGAGTGAGATTGTATTTCAAGTTAATCATTACAATCCATACTTTTTCTTTGGACTTATTTGATTTGTGGAATTACGTCTTTCAATAAAGGTCACAACGCATGATGGTCAATTAAGCCTCCAATGAACAAATGGATGTCATCTCATCTTCCTTCAGGGACACAAACCATCCACCACTGCCACAGCTAAACCTCTTCCTCATTAACTTTCCCCAGCTCATGTCTGAGATGACGCATCAGCCTTTGGTTGCCAAGTGACCTGTGCTTCAGTCACAGCAGCCAGGGCACAACATCCTGTCCAGCAGGAACCTTTAGCTGGAGTCCAGGTGGTCAGAGAGACAGTGTCTTCCAGCAGGCAGAAAACAGCTTTCTGAAGAAATGCACATCTCTTGATTTCCACACAAAACTTGCCCTTTGAACAATTCCACTGCAGCTATTCAGCAGCAGCCAATTAAACTGTGCTACAGCGATTAAATTAAAAAAAAAAAAAACAACCACCCATTGGTTCTCACCACTGGATATGAGGCATGGGCAGCAAATACAAGGCTATTAGAAAGACCTGTCAGAACACAAAAAGAATAGGCAGATCTTCCAAGCTCACTTTTTCTAAAGCTAGGATTTTATCCCTCTCACCTTCAGGAGCTTTGCACTAGACAGTAACAATTCACTTAAAAGTGATCTAATGTCACTGTAAGTGCAGGACAAACCCCCTTGGCAAGTGGTACTGCAGTGCTACTTGCCCGAGATCTGGCCTCTGATCAGCTTCATCAGCCATTCTGCTGCTGAGCAGTGATGTGGCTGAAGAACCACATCTGAGGAGAACCCACATTGGAATTGGTCATAAAACAGTGCCTTCAAGTAAGGGATTGTGCTGATTTGATTCCATCTGCTTAATGTACTAATTTAGCTAATTTGGTGTATATGAGGACAAAAATCCCTTAGTCAGAGAGAACTGTCTCTCTAACAGACTGACACCTTCACCCCTAACAATCTCAGTGAAATATTAAGAGCTTAAGGATATTTTTTAAAAATCAAAGTCAATATAAACTATTTGACTGTTATTACTTTAGTGGCTAGAATGAACTAAGACCACATTTAAGAATGATTTTTTTTTTTTTTTTAAAGAGGGACAACAGGGCCCAGGGTGCCCAGATTGGTATTAAGAGATTCATCCCTAGCAGGCTGGCTGGAGCTCTGAGTAAGCTGCACTAGTCGCAGATGTCCCTGCTCACTGCAGAGGCTTGCATTAGATGACCTGTAAAGGTCCCTTCCAGCCCAAACCATTCTATGATTCAATGCTATGATAAAGCATCACATGTGAAAGCCATGAAACAGAAAAAATGAGAAATGGCAGAAGGAAGAAACACAACAGGACGAGTGAGGGAGATAGAAAAATGAAACCTGGAGGAAAAAAGAAAAGATAAAAGAGGAAAATAATGTGATAGCTAAAATGAAAATTATTTTCTTGCTGAGACATGCCATATGTGAACAAGAACAAAAAGACACTTAAGGTACTAAGTTACCAGCAACAAAATACAGTCATTCCCATAAAGATTAAGTCTGCATCCAATATTCCCAATCTCATTCCTTCGTTGGAAAGAGATTCCAAGTATCTCCTTCCTCAAATACTTGGAAGGGGACTCACAAGTATTTAAAAATACTTCACAGATGAGAATTAAAAAGCAGTCTAATTTTCCCCTGCCTACACTGGTCTCTCACACCATCACCCAGCCACTGCTGCTCAATTCCTTCCTGACACGCGTGGATACCAATAGGGCAAAATCACCAACCAAGAATATTCCACAGATGAAGCCAAAAATGTCACATTTTGCTCACCCCGCCATCACTTCCAAATGGAGCTGGCCAGAAACTGTCAGGAAGGCAGGCACGTTGAAGAAATGGGTCTTTTCTGAAGATTCCCTTGCCTCATTTGATCTCTGGAAGTCAAAAAACGAGCAAGAAGTCAGACTATCAGTATCTGAATAAAAAGCACAGCTCCTGGCTTATTTGCCTTTTTCTTTGTCTTCAGAGATTCCATGAGATTCAAGCCCAACACTGCTGAGATGGAATCCAACAGTGTGGCAATTTGTGATAAAATGTTCCCCATCTTTGCTCAGGCTGCTAATGGGCTCTAACATCTGATCCAATAACACACACTAAGAAACCCACCCCACAAGATAAAGCATCCTTGGGAACTTCACTTTCTAGGGCTCTGATGCAAATAGTGTCTCTGTGCAGTGAAAGGATGTACTTTAAGTGAGAAACACCACAACTCCCACCTCTAACTTTAGTGACTGACAAGGAGATGGGTTGTGTGTGTCACAACAATTTGCAGAACATGTTTGTGAACTGTGGCACACACACCCCCAGAGTCACCCAGCAAAGGTCTTTCAGATATTTGCCAAGCTAACAGGGATTGTAAACTGAATCCTTGGCAATTAGTTATGAGGTGAATGGGAAGTAACTTGTTAAGATCACAGAATGGCTTAGGTTGGAAGGGACCCTAGAGATCACCTAATCAGCTTCAAAGAGTTTGTGGGCAGCACAGAGCTTGTACAAAGCCAAAAGAACATGTAGCTCTTCACTTCTCATCTCTTGCCTTTGGATGTGGCTATGTCAGGAGCTTTAAATTTCACTTGAAGAAAAGAATCATGAAACTTATGTGTTTAAACATCCATGAGATGAATTAGGTATGATATTGTAGAAAGGAAGGAAGTAACAATGTAAAATAAAGTGTCAGGAAGGACGTAATCACAGTTTTACAAGCAAGGCTGAGAACAAGAATGGTAGAAAAGCAGATTTTCTAGAGCTGCCTCTGATTTTTGGCTCCTCAGTAAAGTAATATGTATATAGCTAAGGGCTCTGTCTAACTAGGCCCTTAGGAGCAGGTGGAGAAACCATATCCCATGTTTCTAGGAAGTGCAGACACACAAAGTGAATCCCAATGGAACAGCTGTTGAAGAACATTTTGCCCAGCAACACACAAAAGACAGATGCCAGCCCACCAACTCGGACCCCAAATATAGGTATTGTTATTCACTCGTTCCTACCAAATGAATAGTGAGGGGGGAAGGGAAGAATCTCTATTGTTTGGAAGTTAGAAGCTTCACACAGCATTGCCTTCAAAATTTAATTCCAAGCCTGACGAGAAAATGGAGGAGAATTTTCCCTGTCAGGTGCACTGACTTTTCATAAAGACTTTTAAACCCAGTGTTATTTCCTTTTCATGGGCAAATGAATTTGTTTCCACTGCAAAAAGACAAACAGTAATCAGAAAAGGAAAAAAAAAAAAGAATGCAATATCCTCTGAAGCCTTGTTATTCAGTCTTCAAAAACCCCAGTACTGAAATAACACAGAATTGGAACCATCACAGCATATGCATTAGATAGGCACCAAAATATAAACTGCTTCATTTCAGGTTTTGCATAATTTTCCAGGTTACCAGATAATATTAGCATAAAAAAAGCTATGAGTAATGGAAAATTCAGCACGTTCAGTGTTTCATTATGAAAAGCACTCTAAAAAAAGAGTCCCATTAAAGCGATGGTATGTTTTTGTTTTTCAGTTTACAGGCACAGAAGAAAAACTAGAAGACCTCAGTGCTGAGCACTTTAAAAGTAATTTGAGCACAAGGATTATGCTTCACCAATTCCCTGGCAGACATCAAGCCAACCATAATCATATCACAGAATCATGGCATGGCCTGGGTTGGAAGGGACCTTAAAGATCACATAGCTCCAACCCCCCTGCCATGGGCAGGGACACCTCCCACAAGAGCAGGTTGCTCAAAGTCCCATCCAACTTGGCCTTGAACATTTCTAGGGATGGAGTGTCCACAGCTTCCCTGGGCAATCTCTTCCAGTGTCCCATCACCCTCATAGTAAAGTATTTCTTCCTTCTAACAGTGAGGAATCCTCATGGCAGAGAAAATCACCAGATCACCAGCAAGTCAAAGGAGGGGACCCCTCCCCTCTGCACAGCACTGGTGACTCTCCAAGATCACTGCATGAAGTTCCTCAGTACAAGGAGACGTGGACATACTGGAGTGAATCCAGTAAACAGCCACAAAGATGACTGGAGCATGTTTCATATGAGAGGCCGAGAAAGCTGGGACTGTTCAGTGTGAAGAAAAGGCATCAAGGGGATTTTAGCCTTGTGTATAAATACCTGATGGAAGGGGACAAAGAAGAAACCAGACTCATCTCAGCTGTGCTCACTGAGAGGATATGAGGCAATGGACACAGATTTTTAAAAAGATACACGAAATTTCATCTGAAAACAAGAATAAATTTTTTGTTTACTGTGAGAGTGTTCAAACACTAGACTAGGTCACCCAGAGAGGATGTGAAGTCTCCATTTAGGGAGATAATCATAACTCAGCAGGACAGAGTCCCGGGCGACTTGCTATAGGTGACCCTCTTTGAGCACAGTGAGATGGATTAGAGCATCTCTAGAGGTCACAACTGTGATTTAAAAAAAAAACATGGGGATAAATGAGATTTTTTTTCTAGCATTTTCTATATTTTAGTGTCATCCCTAAGCCCTGGAGGAATCAAAGATTCAGAAGAAAGACAGAAAGAAACTTCGAAGCTAAGCTGAAGTTTGGCTGATCTATGTTCACTCCCAAACAAGTACTTTCCTCTGAGGTAAGTTTGAAATGCCCATTTTTCGAAGTTCCTAGGAGTAAGGGTAAGTGTTACTAGCTCAGCTAAGAATGTCACTGCCTCCAGCCACCCTACTCTCCAACTTGCCTTGTCACAGGGAGGTTGCTAAGCTCAGGCTTGTTTGTCAGCCTTTGATATTCTACAACCTGCTATTTTTTCCTCAATGAGTTGGAAAGCGTTGCTTTTGTTCTCAAAAAGCTCTGCTACTCATTGCAAAGATAAAACAGAGACTGCCAAAGACCTCAGATCACAAGGGAGTTTTATCTCTTCACAGCATCACACTAAAGAAAAAGAGCAAGCTTGCCTTGCTCCTTGGAGATCAAAGAAAATAGACAGTTTGTGGCTGTAACCCCAAGACTGCTTCCTTTGTTTCATAGGTTTTGCATTCTAAAAAACCAAATTGCATCTTTGGGTTTTGTTGAAGTATGCTCCTATTGTTTTCTTCAAATAAACCCAGAGTATTTGCCCCAAAACAGTCAGGATATTAATATAACATACAAACGCCCACACAGCACAGCCACAGAGCCACGGCCAGAACGCCACAGAGAACAGCCACACACCACTCCAATTTCTCCTACTTGCAAACTTAGGTTCAGCAACGTTCCTGGTCCCACCAGTGAAAAATCCCACCTAATCCTGTAGGATGCAACTTCCAAAAAAGTAGAAAGAGACAGACTGAAAGTAGGAAAAGAACAGAAGAGATCAGCCATGCAATCTCAACACCTCCCCCCAAATCCACAAACAGGATACAGCTGTCTTCAGGAGCTGAGGCTTGGTTTATTTATAAGGACTTTGTGTCATTTTTCATTCTCCAAATCAGATGTAATCTCAAGGAGGGAAAGGGGAGAAAGACACAACAGTAAGTGACTGGAGGACGAGTGTGAGAAGTCTCAGCTGGACTTAAAAAACCTGCAGCCAGTCTGAGAGGCCAGAGAGAGGTCCTGAGATGCGTGTCTGCACTGTGAGCAGCTCCTGGACAGCTTCCAACGGAAGGTGAAGGGGGATCATGGCAATATTTAGAGACAATTTTACTCCCCCATCACCATCTGATTGCCTGTCGCCCACTTCCTCTTGCTCATTTTGAGACACAAACTCGATGAATGGGTGTTGTGGGTGTCAAGCCCCTTGCTAGGCAGGGAAAAGGAAATGTCTCCCATCTCCTTCCCAAGGGACCCCTTCAGCAAGGGGTACCCTGGAACTGGCCACATTTCATGTGTGCAAACATCAGCTAACCCACTAGAGGTGGTTCCTCCAGTTCATACATTCACACACAGGATCAGGCCAATGTTTTCAAGTGCCTGTGCCCAAGATTTATCCCCAGCCTTTTAGATCAAGCTTGCTGCTACATTATTAACAACCACAGCCACTGGTAGAAGACCAGTAATAAATAGTGGGTGATGCCACCCCTTCACTGCTGACACTGAGTGACACTGCTTTTCCTGTCCATGACGATCAAAATAAAGCAACAATACTGTGGTGCTTTTATTTCCATTTGATGGGACATTTCTCACATTTTCCAGCCCCAAAATACCTACTTGATAAAAGATCAGGGGGAAATAATGTGTTTGCTTTCAAGTCCTCTCCATTCCCTAGTTGAAAACTACCCAAATTACAACAGAGAAAGAAGGAGGAGGAATCTGCATGAATGTCTTGGTGTCTCAGAGTAAAGGTGCTTTATAAACATACCAGAACTCCATGTCAACATCAAAGGCATTTCATTCTCATTCTAAATACGAGAATAACTAGATTTAGTACCTGTTTTGTTTCCATCTCCTCAAATGTCTAATGATTTAATTTAAAATTATTCCCTTTGATGTCAGTCTTGTATTAACTTTTACTTGAGGCAGCTAGCTTCAGGAGAGTACAAACCACTGGATTGTGTCTTTCACTCTATGAAGCCAAATGCATGAAGGATCAGAGAAGACTTGAAGAGCTCATAGAAATCACTGCTGTGGCTCTAGCCCAGGCCCACAGCACCACACTGCTGAAGCTTCACAGCACCATATCTTCAATCTAGATTTGCCCTCTGTGATGTCCCACTATAAACATCACTGGGTTTTCCCTTTTAGCCAACGACTGCAAAATTCATCGCTTCCAAGAAGTCCTCTTTGCCGTTCCAGTCCTAACCCTTATCAGCTGGACTTACACTGGGCAACAGCAGCTGGTTCTGCTGAGACAAACATCTCACAAACATGGATTGGGATTACAGGCAGAGGTGAACCAGACAAAAACAAGGAGAAACTGGAAGAGCTAGAAAATGCAAGAGCAAGCCCTGGCTCAGCTCAGTTCCTCAGATCCCTGCTGAGCACCTCTCCGAAGTCCCAGTCTCCCAGACTGTGACACCAGACAGACACTGTGCCATGTTTAGCTGCCATTCTCCCCAGCAGATCCCAGCTCTCCCTGGTGCTGTCGAGGTTATTTTTGAGCCATACCAAAGGAGTGGTCTGAGTTAGTTTCTGGACATTTAGCAGCAAGCACATAGTTCTGTCAGAGCCATGAAGTTAGAATGATAGAATCATTAAGGTTGGAAAAGACCTCCAAGAGCATCAAGTCCAACCATCAACCCAACACTACCATGACCATTAAACCCTGTCCCCAAGTACCATGTCTACACATTTTTCGAGCCCCTCCAGGGCTGGAGTATATTCCAGGAATAGCCTGATCCAGACCCTGAGCCCAGTCAAACACCACCTAGATGGGTGTGGGAAGACACAAGCCTGACAGAGAGGACACAATACCTCTGCTGGAGCCAACAGGTAGAGTGCTCCTTACATGAAGAGCGAGGTGCCCAGGTGGGAATAAAGTCACGGGCAATACAAGATACATGTGAGATCAACTTTAAAGAGCTGTGAATTACAACAGAGCTGCTGTGCTCTGTAACTCACTGCATGCCGAGTTCTTTTGGAAGGCTGCAGCTGAGCAGCAGGGGAAGTGGCTGTCCAGGGCCTCATCACACTGTCTGGAGCATCCAGGGCCAGAAAGTCTCTTCAGAATGCAGAGGAGCCTCCACTTTTTCTCCACAGCAGCTGAGGAGAGTCAAACAAGGAAACGTTCCAGGGAGCCAAGTGGAAAAGACAGAGCAAGAGACCCAGAAAGCAGGGAGCGTTCAACACTGCAGACAGAGTGGGAGGCTACTGAAAATAGCAGGGAACAGACACGCAGCCAGGTCACAGAGACAAAGGAGAGGCAGATTTCCTAGGAAGCCACCCCAGAAGGGAACTGGGTAAAGTTTCTTGGAACATACAAAGCTGCTAAGAATTTTAGACTTCAGAAGAAAAGGAAAGAGCATGGAAAGTATCTGCCCTGACATGCTAAAACTGCTGGTGCAGAGGACTTATTCTGAGATTAAAATAAAAAGGCCTGTCCCACCCTGCTGATCTGTGTTCCCCCAATTTCAAGGACTACTTCATCCTACTTTGCATTCTACTAAAAACTCATCTTCTATTATTCAAAGCTCTTTTGGTGTTTCCAGTAAATTTACTTTAAAGAAGGCAGCACAAGCAAGATGCTTCCTCCCTCCAGGGTTCCACCACAGGTAGACAGAAATCCCCAAGTTGGTGTTGATGTTCTCCACATGGGTTAGGGTCTGCCTGGCTGTTTTCACATTTCTGGCAGTTTCTCTTCAAACCTGCACTTTTCAGGTGGAGAAAATCTCGACTGCAAAAGATATCTCTGGAGTTATTACCATCTTATGCTGTATTTATTTTTAAAAATAATCTCCTCTGCTTACTGCCCTCTTTTTACTGTTACAGTACTTCATTTTAAAAATATTTAGCTGAACTGATCTGCCCAGCAGAGAGGGAAGGGATTCTCCCCCATCCCAAGTCCTAGTATGAGAACTCCCAGCCAAAGCTATGTACAGACTAATCAGTACACCCACAATCAAACAAAGATAATGAGGAAGCTCAACATATAAACACACACAAATCCTACAGGATTAAGAGGTCTAGGAATCAAAGACCAGATGCCTTCAAAATGCCTTTTCCTTCTAACTCAAGATACTTTTTTCCCCACCTCTTCAAATCTAAAGTTAAACCAGATTCCTGCTCTCTTCATTTTCCAAATTTCCAAAGAATGCATAGGCCTAAGTAGCCATCAAACATTAGTCAAAAGGATTAAAGCTGTGCCAGTCAGAAGACAGCTATTAAAAGGCAATGGTTCACAGTGGGTGCAAAGGAGCCTCTATTTGGCTCCTAAAGGCTACTCAACCAGTTTTCAACCTACTCCACCTGGAGCAGGACAGCTAAACTGGGGAGATTATCAGTTTTATATGCCCAAAGGAGCATTTTTAAATTTTTAAATTTTTTTTAAAGAAAAGGCAGAAAAAGCAATCTGTAAGCAACAGGTGTATTGTAACTACTACCAATCCAGGAGCACTAAGACACCAATTTGTGTTCTGGTCACAACTGGAAGATGGGCATTTGAACTTTAAGTACAGGATTCAAACACTTTTTAAATTAAAGAATCCAATTTGCTGGTTGCTTTCACTGATTCCCATCACCATAATTCTTGGCTACTGCTCAAATATGAGAGGAACAGGAATTTATTCTCTCCCTTGGCCTGTGCAAGCAGTGAACTAAAGGCTGGTTTAAAAAGTGACTGAATACAGCAGACGGGGAATGTCTCGATGGTTGGTTTGATTAAAAGCTTATAAAGATCCTGGGCTTTGCTGCAAACACCACACCCTTATTTCTATGTCTGACACATCTCTGTCATCCTTATTTTTATGTCTGACAGCCTCAAATGCATGGTCCAAGGCAGGCTTAATCTGCCCCAGATTTCCACTGTCAAGAAACTGTGTCACTGCTCCAGTGGAGTGGTCACAGCAGGAGGGCAAGTACTCTTGGATCTCTGCTAGCCAAGACCAACCCTGAACAGAGCTTTGCAGAGACAACACCAAGTCCTAAATCACGCCAGACAATGCAGTACTCAAAGAAGAAATAGGAAATCAGGGAGAACTTCCCACAAAATGGGTTTCGAAGCTTGCTCTTTGTGGCACAGACCGTTTAATGGGATCTGACTCACCTTTCAAGCACATTTCTCCAAGAGAGGTATTATTTACACCTAAGCAATCACACTGGGGAGAGAGCAAGACATTTGCCTTCAACTATGCATTTAGTTAGGATGCAGTTTACACAAACTTCAGACTCACACTTTAGCACCTCAGTCACCATTTGCATCAGTGCTTCTGTTACTGCTCACCACCTACGCCCTAGTCCTGCATCCTCCACAGCTTTCAAGTGGATACAATTTGTACCAAAGACGTAATACTCTGTACAGCTGCAAACTGTATAATGTTCTCATCATTAAGTGTCACTTGTTTTCACATCTTAATTTGCATGCAACAGCCTGGAACGAACCTTTGGTACCATTAAGGCATCTCAATTAAACAGGAACAATTTAGTTTAGCTAATCAACTCTATTGTTCCAGCAAGCAAAAAGCTGAGCCATGTGTACTGGTCTGGAAGGGAAGCACCAGTCGTGCAGGTTATCCTGATCCTGAGACTCTGATGAACCAGCACATGGAGGCTTTTCCTCCTGAAGGTGTGCAGAGACCAGAAGACATGATCCTGCAGCAAGCAACTGCTACCTCAACCATTTTTCTTTTGCTTACAGAGGATTCACCAGCAAGGCTCAAGACAATAAACAAAGTGGCAATAGATCTAACTGTTTGAGAGAGAATTGTGAATTTCAAATACAGAAGTGCAAAAGGCAGATGGAATTTCTTACGATTTATGGATGTGGGGGTTAAGAATCATGAGAAATCCGTGGGTAAGTTCTTAGCAGTTACAGCTGTATTTAAGTTTCATAGGAGGTTTTGACCCACAGTGTGAAGTACTTCATAATAATGACAGACTGTGGCAGTCATTTGGTGGATGGATGGGGAGACCCAGCAATACTGGGGGAGAATTCTGACATACAACAGGAGTAACTTGTAGGGAGGGAATACCTACACAGGCGAGGAGGAGTTTTAGGTATTGCTGACTTGCATGGTGAATTATATTCTTCATTCCAAAGCTAAGAAATATTTGCATGTAGTAGGCCACCCTGAATCTCTCATCCCACCTCTTGGGCTCTTATGATGACAACTTTCTGTTTATTAAAATGTTCCACCTCCCTCTGTTGTTCTTTGCAAACTTTTCCATAGCAAAACCTCATTGGTACAGAAGGTGCTGATTAATGCACAAAACAGCAATTAAAAAAAGAAGTAATGCATCTGTTTAACTCTGTCTAAATTATTAGTTGAAGCAAAGGGCTGCTATATTAAAAAAATAATCACCGAAGTACATAAAGGAAAGGTTTTGTGAAGACAAATACTTCCTCTAGCCTTCAATGACTCCAGACTTGCTCTGCAAGCAAAAATCAAAACAAACTTTACACAACCCAACTCACCTCAATTTGGAAGAGTTCTCCAGCACCTTCACAGTCATTTGATGTAATTATGGGGGTATGAATATGCACGTAACCATTATCCTGGAACAGACAGAATATTAAAGTTAACTAGCTGAAGATACCAAATGCTAACTCCAGGGGTGACATCAACCAGCACACATCAGAGCTCATCTATTAGTCCCCAGCCAGCACATGCTCTCTTTTAGGCAACTTCTGCCTTACGTGGACAAAGACAGAGGACTAACCAAATGCGAGCAAGATTTACAAATCAATGGTTACTACTCATGTTTATTCCTCCACATTTCATAAATAAATGAGATTTATGCCATTGCTGCAGGTTTTTGCAACTACCCATCTCTACACCATTCCCCTTTTTTCTCACCTCCGATATTTATATAATTTTGGACATTTTCAATCAAATTCACTCCTATGGCCTCAATACTATATTTTTTTTCCAGTATTTTGGAAGCTGGTGGTTAGGCAGAGGACACTCTCTCAGTGTTCATCACTAAGAGAAACGATCAAGTGTTAGATGACAGAAATCACAGACTCCATGGGAAAGAAGCCTTAAAAACACTCAACCACCATGAAAATATCTGTCCTACCTCACATCATCTAGATACCAAAGTCAAACTGATTTTATGAGACATACGACCCTGGCTTGGCCATGTTCTGGGTACGTGGAGGATTCCATGTAATCGTTGATAGATCCATCAGAGGCTTCCGAAGCCAGGAAGGCTGGATGAAGAAAGAGCTCCTGTTCTCTGAGTTTCTTTGCAGTGCAGCCATAGGCTGCTAAACCAGCTGCAGCCCAATTTTCAGGGGATGGGTACATTAAGCAGACCTCAGACAACCACATCCGGCATGTTAGAGGAAAACCCAGGAACAGAAGTCTACTGTCACCTTCCTCACATAGTCTCACTACAGAGCTCACTGGTGGAGCACAGAGATCATGGCAAGGCAAACAATAACCTGGAACGAGCTGATTCCAGCTCTAACAAAGGACTCCATTTCTCTTGCATCACTAATATCTAGCAGAAAGGGAACTTCTTCAAAATCAGGGTGTGCCCTTATTACCATGATACAGGCATTGATGTAGCATAACCCATTGTCTATTTATGCATAACACTAATGAAAAAGAGATTAAAAAAAGCATATTTTCCTAAAAGCTTAGTCTTGCAGCTTTTACCAGAATAACATAAATCTACCATTCACATGAGAGGTCCTGCTCCTTACCACCAGCCAAGTTCAAAGGTGAAGAAGACAGGAGCAGTGTCTGCTGTCCATCCTGGGAATCAAACTAGAATTAGTCTGGGCCAAAGAGCTCGCATGGACACGCAGCAAGTTTTGTGGGAGTACCATAACACAAACAAGAGGGAGCAGAGTCCCTGCAGGCAGCTCTAGGCTATCTTGGCTTGCCAAACACCTGGCAGGAGCTCCTCACCAAGATCCAGTTCCTACACAAAAAGAAGTTCTGGAGCCAAAACTACTTACTTTGCCCAGAGAATCATAGAATGCTTTGGGTTGGAAGGGACCTTTAAAGGTCATCCAGTCCAACCCCCTTGCAGGGAGCAGGGACATTTGTAACTAGAGCAGGTTGCTCAGAGCCCCATCAAGCCTGACCTTGAATATCTCCAGGGATGGGGCCTCCACCACCTCTCTCTGTTCCGGTCTTTTATCATCTTCATAGTAATGAACTTCTTCCTAATGCCTAATCTGAATGTACCCTGCTCTAGTTTAAAATCATTGCCCCTCATCCTGTCACTACTTTCCCTTGTAACGAGTCCTTGCCCAGCTTTCCTGTAAGCCCCTCCAGGTACTGGAAGCCTGCCAGAAGGTCTCCCTGGAGCATTCTCTTCTCCATGCTGAACAACCTCAGCTCTCTCAGCCGGGCGTCCTAGGAGAACTGCTCCAGCCCTCTGATCATTTTTGTGGCCTCATCCAGACACACTCTAACAGGTCCATGTCTCTCCCATGTTGAGGGCTCCAGAGCTGGAAGGTAGTTTAAGCCTATGAATACAAAACGCAGGTCTCTGCCACAATTCCATATATAGCCCAGAGACTACTTGCTTTGCCCAGGGAACCAGGGAATCATAGAACGGTTTGCGTTGAAGGGACCTTCCAAGGTCATCCAGTCCAACCCCCCTGCAGGGAGCAGGGACATCTGCAACTAGAGCAGGTTGCTCGGAGCTGGCAACCTCACCTGGAACGGTTCCAGGGATGGGGCAGCAACCACCTCTCTGGGCAACCTGGGTCAGTGTTTCACTACCCTGAGTGTAAAAATTTCTTCCTTCTATCTAGCACAGACCTCTCCCTTTTTGTTTAAAACCATCACCCCTTGTCCTGTTGCTACAGGGCATGCTAAAAAGACTGTCCCCATCTTTCTTCAAGGCCCTTTTTAAGCACTGAGAGGACAGAAGGTCTCCCCAGCTGGAGCCTTCTCCTCTGTAGGCTGCCCAAGCCCAACTCTCTCCTGCTGGGCTCCCAGCAGAGGGGTTCCCCCCTCGGCTCATTGCTGGGGCTCCTCTGGCCCCGCTCCAGCAGGTCCCTGTCTCTGCTGTGCTGAGGTCTCCAGAGCTGCCCCAGCACTGCAGGGCAGAGGGGCAGGATCCCCTTCCTGCCCTTCTGGCCACTTTGGGTGTGTATTCAAAAAGCCCTCAATTCTCTTTCATCATTAAGCTCTTTAAATCTTCACACAGTGAATACACTCAGATTATACTTTCTACTTATTAACATGTTCTGACATTGTCAATTTGGAAATTGCAATATTCCTGGGATGATGAAAGTGGCAATTTAAAAAGACCGCTCTCCTTCCATCAGAAATGGAGTAACCACAGATGCTTCTAGTGCCAGGGGAGTTGTGACATAAGCATTTGCAAATATCAGGTCTGGGGCCAAATCTTCCTTTTCCCTTTAAAAATAACTTTAGCTGCTGCTGCTAAATTAACAACACTAATTTTTACCGCTTTGTTCTTGAGCATTTTAAACAGGAAGTTCTGTCAGAGTCTGAGCTGGAGTTAATTTGGAGAAGTAAAGCCTCTGTCAGAATAAGACACTTTCTATCTCGGCTGGCTTCCTAGCCCATCTTTGGAATTACAAATGGTTGCAGGCATTGCCACCTAGTGGCCCGACACCAGCAAAGACCGATTTCCAACAAAGCTGGGTCCTGTCTTACCAGCAGGAACCATGTTGACACCACCAGCAGCTTTACCTGACACAGTACTGCTATTAGGCTCTTAAAAAAAAATAACCCCTTCTAAATACCGTGTGATTTGATAAAGATAACTCCCAGAGCGGGCAAACTTTCTTTTGCCACTGCAGGTGACAAAGAGCTGCATATCTGGAAACTCAATTTTAACAGTTCTGACCTGTTCTTTGGACCATACTAATTACTACACAGGAATTTTGTAATCAGAATGCTCTGAATGTGATTCTACTCAAGCTCAGGACAGTTTACTGAAACTAAACCATGTTTACCTCAACAAACAGCTTTAAAAGAAAGGGCTCAGCTGCACTAAAGGACCCACCACCTCTCCTTATCTACTCACACACAGAGCTGCACAGCCTCTCTCTGGCATCTGGAATTGGAGTGAGTCCACTGCCCACAGCTGAAGAGTGACACGGTCACAAAATGCAGGTGCCTCTCACCCATCATCAGTTTGAAATGCACCAGACCAGGAGTGTCCCACTCTCAGCTAACAGCATCCATTGAGGCTTGTAACACAGCTGTAGGAAGGTAAGGACTGAGAAGAACATGAAGCTCTGCATCATTTTGTTGGGAGCTTTCCTGCATCATAAGTTTTTCCATGTGGGAGGAGGTTTCTGTCCCAGGACCATAAGGTCACTGCTGGGGATGGGTTAAACAGCTCCACATTATGTTGTATTCCACAGGCCACCCATGCTCGCAGGCAGCTACAATGCAACTTGGTGAAAGGGATACAAAAACTAACAGGAAATGGGTGGAAAGATGCTAACAAGACCACAGATGTGCAAACCTGACCATAAGCTACAGTCTGGTGAAGGCCTCAGCCAGGCTCATGCCTGGTAAGAAAGTCCCCGCATCTAAAATCCACACCCTGCAGTCAAGATGTCACCCTCCTGTCCTCCTAACATCCTCCTGGATGCCAAACCCGGGGAGTGCTTTCCCCCTGAAGCTCAGGGCAGCAGGACTACCTGGAAGAAGGAGTGTATGGCAGCGGTGGCTTCGCTGCGGATCCTGAGGAGGGCGCCCAGGGCACTGGTTCTGCAGCGCAGGTGGGGGAGCTGCCGCACGTACTCCAGCGGGTGCCGCCGCCGCAGCTTCAGCGGGAACGACTGCAAGCAGGGGAGAAAACCGAGGATGAGCACCTGGAGCCAATGGAGCTTTTCTACACTGCACTGCAATGCAGTTTTTCTCCTACTCAGGGAGTACCATCTCTCCCTAGGAGACCTCAATCATTACAGAGAGAGAGAGATACTTTTGCCTGTCTTTTCTCGTTACTTTGTGGATTTTACAATACTTAGAGCAGAGCAAGAGCCACAAACACAAGAGAAGGTAGCAGTGCTCTGCTCGACCTTTTGGATGCTGAGCTCCCCTGAAATCCAGCTGCTCATCTCCCTGCTGCAGCAGAGAGCTGGTTCCAAACGTGCCCACAGCAGATACGGTTCTTCCACCCGCACAATCCAGAGTGTTTTGCCAGCCCCACTGCTCCTCCAACTTGTGTCCCCAAGGGACACACCAGGTAAACCACCTGTGGCACAGGAAAGTGCTTCAGGGTGGCACAGATGCACACTCCTAACTGCCAGTAGGTGCAAGTTTCCCTGTGGAAGCAGCTCTGCCCCAGAAGAAAGCTGCCATGGTGATCCCGTGCTCCTACTTTGACTTATCCTACAGGCTCCACTGACAGATCCAAGCCTGTAGGACCACTCAACGTGAGTACAGTCTGGAGCACACTTTGCCAGATAGTTGGACTTCTTGAAACTCATTTCCAAAGCAGTCCTACCAGCTGGACTCCTGCTGCAGCGACATACCCAAGTATCACAAGCTCCCACCACACGGATGGTTTCTGCTTGCAGCTCCATGTTTTGCTTCTGATGAGGACTTTTGACCAGTTTTCCTTGTACTTCCACCGCACTTCCAAAAGTCAGGTCTCTAAGAAACCAAGAAAAAGCAACATCTTAACTAAGCACCGACACAAAGTCAACTACATTCAGAAAAGAGATTCCTGCTCATTTAGCTGGACCACTTGAGCTCACAAGAGATACTCAAACTGATGAAATGAAAAATTATTAAATTCATAGGTGGCAATGTGAAATGATTCCCAAAGTTACAGATGAATTTAGGACAAGGTAGGAATGTTAGACAAGTGAGGGGAAAAGAGATGGGCTTTTATTAGAAGGTGCTCATGGTGGGGACAAACCAGGCTTATAGAAAAAGAACAAGTAACCACAAGGCCTCAGGTAAGTGGAGACAGAGTAATTGGAGACTCTCCATCCTAAAAACACATCCAGCGACCCCAGACCGCAGCTGGGCCCTCCCCGTGGTCAGCTGCCAGCTGCTGGGGAGCCACTGGAGCAGGAACAGAGACCCCAGGAGATACCTCCAACAGATATCTCCTCAACAGAGATATTTCTCCAGGCATCTCAAAGTGACCTACCTGCTCTCCAGGCTGGGATCAGCAACCACCTGGAGGCTCTCCAGAGAACTCCCATCGTTTATATGCAGGAACAAAACTTCTTTCTGGGATCGGACAGAGCGGACCCAGCCCTAGAGGTAAGAGAAGAAGAAATCTGTTACAGTGGAGCACGGACTTTGTGTAGTCATGCTCTTCTTCCAGCTGAGCTGGACATGCTACCTCAAGCCTACTGGAAATTCTTACTGAAATCAAATGAAATTTTCCTTTAGGGGCAATATAAAAAAAAATAGTCATTTTTTTTAAAAAGCCAGGGTCAATTTTTTTCTACTGACTTCAAAGCAAAGAGAAACAAATCCTTAGGCAGAGACATCAACTCTCCTCCTGAGCACAGCTGGGATACCCAAGATGTACCTGCATCTCTGGGATCACCTGTAGGAAGGTTCCAACTGGAATTTAATCACGAGTTGTTTACATGCCCTGGGCCACCGGAATGCTAGAATAATGATGCTGCAGCCAATAGATTCAGGCCAAACAATGCATATGCAGGCAAAACAAAAATTGAAATGAATGCCTTGGATGTTTCTCTTTACACCTTAAAAATCAAGACTGCTACACCATCCCCATGGAAAAAAAGAATATTAGGGAAAAACAATCTATGAGCTTTCTTGTCCAGTTTGACTGAGAGAATGAAACACAGCAGTTCTTCGTAACAGCAGACCAGCAGAACTGAGCATGTACATGTCAGGATCATGTCTTGAGTTTTCCTATGTGAAACAAAATTGAACTTCTTTCGAAGGGAAATGTGAAGTCAATACCAAGGCACCAAGCAAAAGTAATAGCATTCAAAACAGAACTCCCTTAGGTGCCCCTCAGCTCACAAGAGTCGAGACAAAGCTGCTTTTAAAACCAAAACTATTTTCTGGGGAGCTTCCAGTTCATCCTATATTAACAGTGTAGAGAACAACTGAAACCAGCGCTGATCACATAGCCAAACTGCCTCTTCTCCAAACAGCTTCAGCTTTTGCTGGACTGGAAGTGGCCAAGAAGTTCGAGTGACTTCAAACTGCACAAGTGCTTTGTACCAGGCTAACCAATACAAATCTAGCTACTTCTGTTGTCTAGACTGAAGAAACTTGAAACATTAAACCACAAGTCAAACATTCTTAAAACTATAACATGACTACTACCACAGATATGGCATTAGACAGTCTTGTAAAACAGGGGGACGACAACTGCACATAACGGTGGAAGATTTCAAAGCCATAAACCCAATGATTAATCAAACTTCAGCTTCTGCTCCAGCTCACAACTTCAGGTAAATGTTCAGGTGTTTAGGTAAACCACCTCTGCAGGGCGTGCCACCTGAGGGAAGAACCAATCTAAGAAACAAGATTCTAAAACTAAAAGCTTATAATTTGGGCATCCTCGTATTCTTAAGGCTAAAGCAACAATTGTTTAAAAGGTTTCTGATGCAATTACACACCCAAAGCTGCTGTGCTTATCCTCTCTATTCCAGTCAATGTCCAGAACATCTCATCCACATCATACTTGATGAAGTTTAATGTATAACTGCGGATGGTCTTAAGTTTCTTTCCTCATAAGCATTACTTAACAAAACACAGAAATCCCCTGAACAACGAAACATTCTCAAGAACTTTTTCCCCCCACCTGTTCAGGCTGTTCTGGGGTCTGTTAAATAAGGAGATGAAGAAATAAGAGCACAGGTGGGTAGAAGGGACCTTAAAGATCATCTAGTTCCAACCCCACTGCTATGGGCATGGATGGCTCCCACTAGAGCAGGTTGCTCAAAGCCCCATCCAACCTGGCCTTGAACACTTCCAGGAATGGAGCATCCACAACTTCTCAGGCAACCTGTTTCAGCACCTCATCACCCTCTTTGTAAAGAATCTCTTCCTAATAAGTACAAATCTACCTTCTTTCAGTCCAGTTTAGAACTTTTACCAAGTACCTCAGACCTTTACAGATTAATCCAGAAATGCTGACAGCTGCACACTTCTAGCCAAGGGCACTAAAAACAGGAACCATGCATCTGCAACCACTGCTCTGTCAGTGGGGAACATCAGCCAGAGAGAACAGGGGCACACACAACCTTGTGCTGAGGAAAGGGAAAAAGCTCTACTGCTAAGAAGTCCATTTATCTCAGTTAACCTTTGTTCACAATGGAAGTCAGTCACAAACATCAAATATACTGTTACTGTCGGCTCTACGTGAGCCTGCTATAAACCTAGGTAAGGAACAAGACCAAACGTTAGCACTGAGGCAATGGTTCCCTCAGCCAAACCAGACAGGTGATAAAACCAAACCTGGGCAGCGCACGCTCCAGTACAACCC